AATAACATTTCCTGAGCAAATTAGCCTTTTTTGCCTAATTATTTTTTAAAAATAGAACCATGTTTCATAATTCGGTCTGGTCTGATTTTTCTCAGAGTGCAAAGATGCAAATGTTTGAGGTTTCTTCCCCTGATTATTTTCTGCCCCTTCTTTGGCCTGAAGAGCCCTTTGCCCCAAACAATTAAGCAGATCTTATCCACGTGGACAGAAACTTATTTGATGAAAGCTGATTCTCATGAACTTGAATGTCATGCCCCAAACCACTTCCTGCACTTATACAGAACCGAGGGAGGCCTATGAGTCCTGGATTAAGACCAGGAAAAATGGTTTTGTTTACTGACAAGATAAAACTCTTCAGCGTAATCCAGTAAAATGGAAATAATTTCTTTAGGGTGGTTCATCCCAGCACAAACTGCTTGATTAAACAGGGAAGATGTTAAACAAATAGTTAAGTTTATTAAAAAAAGGATACTGGTTGCTGCTAAGAAAAACATTCATTAATCACTCTTGAACATGAGGTGGGGAGATTGACTATATAGGCAAGTACTGTACCAGGGATGAAGGCCTTAGCCGCTTTTAAAGTTGTACAACTAGAGGTTGCTGGAATAGAAGTTCCCTGAATTATTGACCTGCCCCTTGGGTTCTTTCTATCACAGGTCTAGCACTGTTTTGGAAAAACACTAAATCTGGGTCAAAAACCATGGTCTGACTGATAGTTCTCATCTGCACTGAAGTGCTATAGACTGAAATCTATAGGCATTTCTTGGGGGTTCTTCCCCCATTTATTCTACACTCCTATGCCACATATTCTATTTGTCAGTCAGGCACAGGGTGAAGCAGGAAAGAAAAAATTATAAATGCTGCAAGGGAGTGACAACATTAGCAGCACCTACATGCAGAGCATGGATTAGAATAGGCAAGAATGGTGTTGCTCTTGTAAAGTAAGAAATAAAGACAGTAGAAAGTAACATCACATGAAAGTCCTCGTGAGAAGAAGCAACAAAAATGTGTAACACATTTATTTGAGATAAACAATAAAATAAGTAAACAAATAAATGCAAATAGGTCTATAGTTCTTTCAAAGGCTTGCTAAACCAGGTATAGAAAAAGAAGCATATGTAATGCCTCACCACTCTTACCAAGTGCCAGTTAGGTATAATTACATGAGCAGATACAATTATGGGAGCCAGGTGTGAGATCTCTCTGGCAAACTAAGCCATAGAGGGCAATGCTTAGCAATGTGAGGGGGAAAGCATGGCAGCTGCAGTCTAGTGGGGCAGACAGGAGCTGGGCAGATGGTAGTTTATGACTTCATCATCACCAGCATAATCACTGAGGCGTTGCAGATGGCTCATATGGCAAGACCTGTGTCAGGAGAAGGGGCAAAACACACTTTAAAACTAGAACAGCTAAATATGAATTTAGTCGGCTCCATGACATTAGAGCAGGCCAAGCCACTGACTGAAGGAGATGTCATGACATTATGCCCACTAAAAATGGTTTGTGGGATATCTTTGTGCTGTAGGTAGGAGATATGAGAATGAGCCCACTCATTAATTGATATAAAAACAACTTTCCAAACCATTGACTAACCTCTAATGTTATAGTTGCCACTTTTTCCATTTTATGTTTTATCCTCTTTTTAACAGAACAGATTATTTTAAATAGCAGCTTTCTACTCATTATCATGCAGAAAAATGTGTGTATGCAGTCAGTCCAGCGAGACTGCAGTTCTATGACAGTTGACCTATAATCTTATTCATTAATGAATAAAATGAGCCGAGGTGGCGCAGCAGTTAGAGTGCAGTACTGCAGGCCACTTTAGCTGACTGTGTTCAACAGGTCAGTGGTTCAAATCTCACCGGCTCAAGGTTGACTCAGCCTTCCATCCTTCCGAGGTAGGTAAACTGAGGACCCAGATTGTTGGGGGCAATGTAAATATATACATACATTGCTTACTGGTATACACCGCTTAGAGAGTGCTTGCACTTAAAGCGGTATATAAGTCTCATAAATAAATAAATAAACATTCCCATTCTACTTTTTATATGCATCCTTTCATTTATTAAAAGTGCTTAATAAAAGCACTGTGATGGCATTTAGAGTGCAAGAAATGGTAGATTCAGACTTCTGTTTCCTGATTCCTGATTTGTTTTTTTTAAACAAATCTTTTATTATGTTTATATAAATAGGGAAAAAATAGGAACAATACAGGTATGGAAGGGGAAGGGGGTGGGGGATTTAGGATGGAATGGGGATAGGTACAATAATCACGTACTTTAACAAGCAAGCTACCGTCCGGATCATAGTAATGAATAAATATCATACTCAGCCATTTTAAAATAAGATTAACTATAACCATACTACATAGATAAATTCATCTATGTAAATAAACATGAGTAATAAATCTCAACTAGTCATAATTATCAACGTTAACGGTTAAGAATCACTAAATCACTAAGAATAAGGAAGTTATCAACCTATAAACTATAACTCAAAAATCCATCATCTATTCTGAAATATTAAATTCTTTTCAGATTTTAACGTGTCTCTAACCATTGATAAAATTTTCCCAAGTTTTAAAATAAACTGAATCATCTTTCTCTTTCATCTCCAATGTTAATCTATCCATTTCTGCACAATCTAAAATTTTAGTAATTATAGCCTGGTCAGATGGTAGATTTTCATTTTTCCAAAATTGGGCAAATACTATCCTTGCGGCTGTTAAAACATGTAATATCAAATAGTCATTCTCTTTACCATAATTAGGTCTTAATATTCCTAGCAAAAACAATTCCGGTTTAAATTCTATCTGTATTTTTATCATCTTTTCCAACCATCTATGAATCTTAAGCCAATACTTCTTAGCATTAGGGCATACTCATCAGGTGTAATAATAAGTACCTGGCTGTTGTTTACATTTCCAACAAGTATTTACACACAGTTTTATGTCTTTTGAGGCAAATAATCCATCTTAAAATATCTCACTAGTGAGCTCTTTTCTCTCTTAGGCTTGTTGGTATCTGTATGGACTTCTATAGTAGTTGCTATTTTGTCTTATGTTAATACTTTAATTTCAAATCCTTACAGCCTGAGTAAAATTAGATAATTAGCATCCACTTTGCTATGGGAGTCTGTAGCATACTCACTTGAGACAAAAGCAATCATTTTCTTGACCAGCGTGGGAACTGATGATAAATCTGTGGGAGAGAGAAAACCAGATCCCAAAGCCACAGCTAAAGCAGGGGAAAAATTCAAACTTCAGATTTTGAAAAATAAAATGAAAGAATGAATACTCAGGGGAATACTCAGAGGGAATACTCTCTGCATGGAGTACAATTATTCTCCATTCAGACCCATTCTGCTTCATAGAGGACAATGTAGAGTTGGAAATAAAAAGGATGAGAGGAATGACAAAAGCTGAAATGTTAAAGGAAGAATATGAAGAACCATACTTTAAATGTATATGTAATCTTTCAGTATCAGAGAATAACCAAAAATAGTGCTATCACTCCAGCCCCATATAAACTGCTTTCTCTCTTGCTCCATAAAATGCCCCTGAAGGATCTCCTGTTTGAGCAGGAGGCTGTACTAGAATACTTTCAAGGTCCTTCCAGCGCTATTATTCTCTTTGATCTCCATGTATCTTTTCCTCAAGTTCCACTACCTCAAGTCGATGGTCAGCTTTTGTAGACTAATTTTAGCCTTACTAATTTTCTTGGCCATACCAATTTTCCTGCTGTTTTTCTATTCATTTTCAATTAACAAATCCATAGACATGTTTATCTGATCATACTGAAAAGCAGAGGAAAGTACATTTTGCTGAAATGGCCACATGACCATGAACTGCCTGCCTGAGGCAATCTATATGTTCCTAGTTTTGCCTAGACCTAATACAAGGTCTACCATCTAACTGCTTTTTACAGTTTGAAAGATATATGAGACTTACAGCCATTATTAGATGGATTTAACAAATCATTGGCATCAGTTCCATGTAAACTGCACATATTTTTAGTTCTTTCAAATGAGGCTTTTCCTCATCAAGTTAAGCTGTTGTCCTTGAGCTACCATAAAATTTGTTACCATCATCCTTCCATTGTCATCATCTCACCAAATAGAGTAGTCCTTATTTACAGTATAAGTGCACTTTAATATTAGAGATCGGAGAATTCCCTGGCTCAGGGTTCTCCATCAAACTCAACCAGCCAGTGGGAAAACAGGTATCTTAACAGGGCTGGGAACAGGGCTATAGAGTAAGGTAAACCTTGACAGATGGCAGACAGACAGTAGGTTTAGAATCTGTCAAAACTCATTCTGATTATTCACTAACACTAGCTGGTAATTGGGCTCGTTTTGGTCATGGTTTAATGCTCTTCCATATAATAAAAGGGGGATTGCAGTATGAAATAGCAAATGTCTTATTCACTCACTCTGACTTCATCCCATGACCTTTTGTCTGCTGCCATTGACTCAGAGACTTGGTGTCTACAGAAGGTGAAACTGGCTTGAAAAAAATGGATTTTCATACCACTCAAAGATAAATAGTTTTGAAGTTCACTGCATAGGTACTGGGGGGAAAGGAGTATATCTGCACTAGCTTAATATGACCTATAGGAGCTTATCAGAACAAATCACCTATGTATCAACATCAGGAAAAGAACGGTGAGTGTAGTGTGCCAGATAATTTCTATACCAAAATCATATAATCTTCAAAGGAAGAATACTAGTTTAAAATCAGAACACCTAAGGACAACTTAAGGCTGCATCAGATAAAGACATTATAAAGGCATAGCATAGGAAGGAGGTTGCTGGGCCGTATTTATGCCACAGTTAGCTTCAAGGCTAAGAAAAGTTACAGAACTAGTGAAAGAGATTATAAAGAGGTTGTAAAATCATGAATAAGGCAGAGCAATAGTTCAATAAAAGACTCCTTTTCTGGCTTATTGATCTAAAGAATATGCGTTTATATATTTTATATATATTCATTTTGATATTTCCAGACCTTCCCCAGAAGAAGCTTGGCAGTGGCACAATTCCTTGGAAAAGCTCCTTCAAAACCCTTGTAAGTCTTTTCTAAAGATCTCAACCTATTGAGAACATTTATCCTAAGAATAATAAGATATTGAGAAACTATGATCAAGCATTGTTATGTCATCTATGGAGGAGTGCTAAGATTGCAACTGAAATAAAAACTTATTGTCATCGTTGTCATTTAGTATATTTGCATGAGTCTTATATGCAGTATAAAATTATATCAGCCTGTATCTCAGATCAGAAGCAGAAGGATCAGTGTACACTTGGGATGTTTATAATACTCTAGCCCTAACCCTTTCTCTATACTTTATCTTAGTGAATAAAATACAAGTGGTACTTGACTTATGATCCCAATTAAGCCCAAAATTTCCTAAACAGTTGTTAAGTGAGTTGCACCCCATTTTATGACCATTTTTTACCATAGATCAATGCAGTCGTTAAGCAAGTCTGGCTCCCCCCCAACTTTGTTTGTTGGAAGCCAGCTGGGAAGATTACAAATGGTAATCACTTTACAAAGATGGGCTAAACTACATTTATTATTATTGGGGAGGATCTCTGTAATCAAGATGAATGTTCTACCGAAGATGCTTTTTCTGTTCCAGACATTTCCAATACTTGCAACTGATGTCCCATTCAAACAATGGCAAAGAGATATTAGATATAAGTTATTGCAAGATGCTGAGGAAAGAGGGGGCTTGGGTTTACCAGATTTGAAATTGTATTTTGAGGCATGTTGCCTGGCTTGCTCAAAAGAATGGGTAAACTTCCTGAATAAGAGGCTACTTAATTTGGAAGGTCATGAACTAAGGCTTAGATGGCACAGTTATTTATGGTATGATAAAGTTAAAGTTTATGATGATTTTAATAATCACTTCACTAAACGTGCCATACTAAGAGTATGCTAAGGCTTATGAAATGCTATTGAAATTAAATTTGGGAAGTGAACATGTAAAACATTGTATGATACAATGGGCAAGGAACTTTGGTTATAATGTGATGCTGGAACAATGGGAGAATATGTGAATGAAAAGTTTAAAATTTACATTGAACTACAATTTAAAAGAAAATTTCTACAAGATAATGTATCGCTGGTATTTAACACCAGACAAGCTGTCTAGAATGTATAAAGGTATTTCAAATGAATGCTAAAGGGAAAGAAGGACCTTTTACCATTTATGGTGGACATGTGATAAAGCAAAGAAATATTGGAGAAGGATTCACATTTTGGTACAGAAAATCTTTAAAATAAAAATAAATATGAAACCAGAATTTTTTCTTTTGGGTCTAATGGAAAAAGACTTGGGGAAAAAATTTGGAACTTTGATCTTGTATATGTTGACGGCAGCAAGATGTATGCACAAAAATGGAAATACATTTCAATTCCTACTATGGACAAATGGCTACAGAAGTTGATGGTGCTGGCAGAAATGGCTAAATTGATTGTTTTGACTAAAGAAAAGAATACAAGTACTTTTGTTTCTACATGGAGACTGCTTCTGGATTTTGTGCTTGAAGTGGAAAAAAATGAAACTTTGATTTTGTGTTTCACGGATTAGATTGATTTGTTGTTACAGAAATGGCCAGTTTATGCTATTGTGAAAAAGTAAAAAGGTGTGGCTCGACGTTAATGCTTCATTCTGCTGCAAAAGAGGAAGTCGGAAGTCAATGACTTTTTTTCTTTTTCCTCTCTCTCCCTCACTTTCTTTTCCCTTTTTCCTCCCCATTGTGTCCTACTATTTGCTTTGCATTTTGTATTTTACTCTATAATTCAATAAAATGTTTTAAAAAATGGTGATCACATGACTCCAGGACATTGTCATAAATACATGCCAGTTGCCAAGTTCTCAAATTTTGATCACCTGACCATGGGGATGCTGCAGCAGCTGTAAGTGCAAAAAATGGTCACAAATTACTTTTTTCAGTGAGGACTACCTGCATATGTAAGCTGCTTAGTATAGAGCTCACTTAGGAAAAGTAAGTCAGCTCTGTACTAAGGAAAAGTATGTTCCAGATAAAGGATTACTTGTAATTAAAACTTAGTCCATTAGTCCCTAAAGAAAATGGAGAATTTGGACTACCAGATTGGGTCTTATACTACCAAGCATGTGCTTTAACATAGTTAAAAGAATGAATAACCTTCAGAAATAAAAGATTGTTATAGTTAGAAGGACATGACTTGCAACTTGGATGGCACGCATTTTTATGGTATGGAAAGAATAAAATCCACAGATATTTCCAAAATCACTACATAAGAAGCATATTATTATTTGTAGGGGAAAAGATAAAACCAAAAATCTATACAAAAATCCCAGGATGGCCATCAATGATGGAAGCATTTGTTCACCCAAACTAAGTTAAACTTGAGAAAATTCTAACATATAAGGATATTCTGAATACAAATGGGAAATTAAAATCTAAACAAGAGTTAGAAGATCAGGGTATTGACTTATCATGGTGGCCTTGACTGCAAATGCAATCGAGGTATGATAAAGAAGTTAAAATATATGGTTTTCACAAAGAGCAGGCAATGTTTGACCAGCTGTTGTCTTCTGATGAAAAAATGATTAAAAAATTGTATAACTTTTTATTGAATTTGAAAATGGAAGACAAACAAGTGAAAGAAACAATGATAATATGGGCAAAAAACTTTGGATACAATATAGAATTAGAAAAATGGCAAAATCTTTGGGAAAGAAACTATAAATTGACAATGGCAACTTTGTACAAAGAAAACCTATAAAATGTTTTATAAATGGCATCTTCCACCTGTCAGATTAGCAAAAATGTTTAAAAATATGCCTAGTAAATGTTGGAAATGTAATCAAAATCCTGCTACTTATTATCACCTATGGTGGACGTATGTTAAAGCAAAACATTTTTGGACAAAAATACATACTTGGTTAGAAAAGATGTTAGTGAAACATGTAGACTTTGAACCTGAACTTCTTTTATTACGTATAATTCCGGAAAAAATGATAAACAAAGTGTATATTTAACATTACATGTATTAATAGCAGCAAGGATTGTATTTGCTCAGCACCGGAAAAATGAAAAAACACCATTGGATGAAGAGATAATCAAGAAAATACTGGACTGTGCTATAATGCATAGACTTACATTGAGAATCAAAGAAAAAGAAGATACAGAATATTTTCAAACATGGAACTTATTTTATCAATGGCTGGAAAAACGGGATAGAGAGTAAGAGCTTAACTGGTATTACTAAGCAAAACAAATCAACCCAGAAAACACATTGTTCATTAAGTACTAATTAATTGTAATAATAAAAAAATTAATAAGATACTATTAAAAAAAATTAGTCCCTTATTCCTTGTGGCAGGGCTAAGGGAAAAAAGTATTCTCTGTAAGGGAGTAAGGAAATAAAACTTTCTGCAGGAGTTTTCCCTGAGTGGCAGGAAGACTAAGGAAAAAGAATTTTCCACTTAGGGACAAAAGGAAAAAAAAAAAACTCTTTTCAAGGGACTAAAGGAAAACTCTCTGCAATGGCCAAAGGTGCTGCTGGTGGTGAAACTCTCTGAAAAAACTCAAGCTACTATACAGCACAATATCATACTTAGCTATGCTGTATGTAAATGCCAGTAAGCCTAGCTACTTAAATTTACAGTACTACCAAATTACTTTTGTGCAGAGTGCTGCATTGACAGCATCAACTATTTTTATTTCAACTATCTCTTTCATTTTATTATTTTATATAAATAAATTCAAGACTGGCAAAAGAGATTACCACACTGATTTCTTGCTTGAGCGGAGGGTTGGACTAGAAAACCTCCAAGGTCCCTTTCAACTCTGTTATTCGGTTATGTATTTTTTCTTGCTGCTTTGAAGATTACAGAGAAAAGAGGATACTAGGCCCTTTTGTAAGATAACATAATCCATAAGATAATTGGCAGGAATCAAGAGAAATTACAACAAATGATTGCAATTAAATATACGGAAAGAAAGGATTATCCAACATCTTCCAAAGCATCACTTTCATAGTCTTCAAGCAACTCTTCCATATTACTGCTAGTTAAATTTTGAATTGAACTGAATTTTGTGTTAATTGTCCTGAAAGTTCTTTGAATTTCCAGTTTAGAATGATCTCGCATTATAGATATCAATCTCATATCCCTGCCTTTCTTTTCTTCTTTGCTCTGTCTACCTTTTTAATCACCATACAACTATGCACGCAATATCTTTATGATTTTCATTTGGAGTTAACAAAGGGATAATGCTGCTGAGTTTCACTGGATATCTAATAACAGGCATGCTTTTGCTGCTTCAAGAATACCAGCTGCATCAATCAGTGCTTGAATACTAGAAGTAGTGAAAAACTGTGGCTGCTCAGGAGCTTCTGCAAGCAAAAGTTGTTCTTTTCTCTTCCGGTTGCCTCAGCTTCTTTAGAAATGCATATTGGTGGGTGTGTGGTCTAGCCTTCACTTCTTGATTGTAACTGTTGGGACAAGGCTAATTCCTTATCATATTCCTTGTCTCACAGCAAAGAATTAAGGAAAATTGATATGAAAGAAAGTTATAGTATGAGTTATAGTGTGGTTGAAGTCATTGATGTCTGGATTCTTTCATTCCCTATTTTTATAATTAGTTAACACGGTTTGCTGACCTACTATGTTATCTTCCAAAATTTGTTTTGACAGACTGATAGGAAAAAGTCACATCAGTAGGGCTGAATGATGTTGTTCCAGTATTACAAACAATCTTATAAGTATTTGATCAAAGAAAAAGTTATCAAAGGACTGTTGCACAACAGAGGATTAATTAGGAAACTATAATTTGGAAAAAAAGTGTTATTTCACAATTGTAATTAACATTTTTTAAAATAATTTTTCCTCTGTGCAGATGGCCTTTCCAGCTTCCGGACTTTCCTCCAATCTGAATTCAGTGAAGAGAACATTGAATTCTGGATTGCGTGTGAACATTATAAGAAGACCAAACTGCCTACCAAAATGACTGAAAAGGCCAAAAAGATCTATGAAGAGTTTATCCAAAGTGATGCTCCGAAAGAGGTTAGTTGATTGCCATTAGCTGAATGGAGATAAAACCCTGGCTTTTATTAAGAATTAGGGAATTAATCTCTTGAAGGTGCCCCTGTGATTAGGTTCTATGGAGTGCACACCTAAACACAGATCCCTTCCCTTGTCACAGAAGAAATTATTGGTTTGTTCCAGTTATATACTATACGGAACAAAGACTATATTTGTGAATGTTACAAAACAGACATCAGAAACAAGTCTAAGGAAGCTGTGCAAGGGAAGATTAGTCATTAAAAATTACAGTATAAAGAAATGCATTGAAAAGTGAACCAATCATCACACAAGGCACACCAACATATTACTGCAAAGAGAGTCCATGAACTGGAAGGCAAGACAAGGCGAGAACTTCATCAGCGAGGTTATACACTGTCCTCTGAAGCACAAAGAAGTGGTAGAGTGCTATTTTTAAGGTGGGATTTCCTTTAATTAAAATTAAAACAGCATCAATAGATTATGATCACAAAGCACTGGTGCTGACATTATGTAATTAGTGAAGGGAGGGTATTATTTTGCACCACTACCAGGGGTGTATCATAAACTCTATAGTTAGATTTGATACAGTTAGCTTCATGTTTTTAACATCTCTAACAAAAATCTATTTATGTGAATCAAATGTTTCATATTTGACTTTTTGTTATAAATTATATATATATTTATTTCAGCTGTAGTTTATCAAGGGATATTTATTAGCTGTTAGCTTCACATATGGAATTGCTATTAGCTTCAGGTTTTTTCCATCAGGGAGGCATTTTGGAAAATGCCCCATGTAAAGTATATTGTTGGCACATCACTTGATTTTTATGAGATATGTCCTATGTAATTCCTACAGCTGTCTACTCTATCTCCCTCTTGTCAGGTGAATATTGACCATTTCACCAAGTCAGTGACCATGAAGAATCTGGTGGAACCATCTATAAGCACTTTTGACCTAGCCCAGAAGAGAATCTTCATGCTGATGGAGAAGGATTCTCTGCCCAGATTTGTGCGATCCAACTTATATGGAGAATTAGTAAAATAGCAGTGTGGCGAGCTGTGCAAAGCATTGGTACATCAATACAGGGTCATTGCCTCCCCCAATCACCAGTAATCAACATGTCTTATTTATATGGATAGTTGCTTTGCTTTGTATTTATTCCAGGCTTTGAAAACTCAAAGTCTGTGTTGTTAAACATGACCAGCATAACTTAGATGAGGGAATACAAAACAAAAATACAACAAAACAAAAATACAAAATGTCTTTTGCTTTTTAGATATTCTTTCAGTGAACTGTACTTCATATTACTACCAGAAATAATGCTCTCATTATTAGTTTTAGTTCAACAATTTAATGGGTGAATATCTCATTTGACTGCATCCTTTTCTGATGACAGCTAGTATTTGCTATGTTGTTATGGACTGGTAAATACCAGCATTTGCTACATATAATAAGGAAATATTTAACAACATATCCCTCAAATGAAACCAAGTACCCTAATATGAGAATCCTTGAATTATATTTGCAATTTGTAGCAAGAAGGGGATGATTTTGGGTTTATGAAAAAAACCCCAAAGTTAATGATATGACAAAGAGCAATGATATATTACTGGAATTAAATAAGCAGCTGATCAAAATCCTGGGCTAATTTGTTGCTAAAAGAGCAGCTTGATGAAAATCATAAATTGATAGATACCCTCATAGCTAGCAGACAATAGAAATTGTACAATAATGAAACAATTACAGTATCCATTTTAAACAAAACATTTCTTCATAGAAGACTGTAAACCTGGACAATTTGTCACCCATCAAACTAAATTTGTTCTATTTTTACAGATTTAATCAGTCAATAAAACCAGTTTTTAAGCTTCCTGTAGAATATACACAGTTTAGGGGATTTCAGTTGTGAAAGTTCTATCTATTATTAAACAGAGAATAGAGAATCATTCTTGGAATAACAGTGATGGATTCAGAATCTATTCTGCAGTGCTAAAGGTGTGAGATAAATTCAGATCCTGTGCTAAATGGCTATTACTAAAATATTTAGGGAAGGGTGAGACTGAGAATAAATCAGCAGACCTGCTCAAACAGTGTGACTTGTTTAACAACCCAGGCTTTTTGTTACCTCTCTTACTGTATCTATTTTTTTCCGTATTAAATTTATAAATGTTATATTTTTATAATGGCCCTGCACAAATTCCAGTGCCCATGCACAGCTTTAAATAACCTCCCTGAAATCTTCTTATAAATTATGATAGAAATATTTAAGCTGAACCATAGCTGAACCTCTGTCTGTAGCACATTTCCCAAAGTATTATTTTACCGCACACTTTAACCACAAGATTTAAATGTTCTTGTAATATATGTATTAGTCAGTTCAAGGTATTTAGCCTGCAGTAATATGAATAGAAAAGGCATCCAGATAGAGATGAAAAATGCATTTCATTTTTTAAATAATAGACCAATTGTATAGTCAAAGCCTCTACTTTGCAAATTACCAGTCAACCATTCAATATAGGTGAGAGAGTGACTAAATCTCTCAATGCTGTTTGCCCATCAGCTGTGGTGACTTTGCCTGACAGCCATGGTGATTTAGTGTTATGGCAGGATGTACACAGAAGCCATTTTCAAGTTGACAAGTTGTCTAACATCACCCAACCAGAGGTTGATTTTAATTCCTCTCTAACCTAATATTTTTTTCTGATTGTAATATGATTGTAATATTTTATTTTTATCAAAAGGGGAGGTAAGCCGTAATTGCTACCATGCCCTTTACATGATTTAGTGGAGCTCATGCAAAAGATGAGTAAGGGGTCTTTACATGGTTTAGTTTTTTTTCCTGCATCTTGAGTAGCAAAAGAAAAAAAAAAAAAACAGGGGGAAGAGGTCCCAAGTGCTTGGTTTCCCTTGTTTTTTTCCTTACTCTGTCCTTCTGTACCATCACTATCCTCTTCTTACTTCACTAGGCCTCAGTTGCCTCATTCCCGCCCCATAATATTCAGTTTTCCAACTGCTAAGTGCTAGCCTTTAGTACTTAGGCAGCCAATCCAGCTGCCAATAGTGGCCCAGATCTAAATAGCACTGGGTCTTGCATCTCTCTTCTTAGAGTGCTCTCAATTGAATGAGCATTTAATAGCTTAGCAAATGTAGATTTGGCCTCTTAAATATATCCAAAAAGTTAAGTGCCAGAAAATTTCACCAGCCAGGTCATCACTTCCAATTCTCTTGAACTGCTCAATAAACAAAGTCTGTTCCACCAAGCTAGAAATATTAGCATACTCTCTGGCCTTTTAAGAAAAGTCAAGTTGAAAGGAAATACCATAGAAGAACTACGCTAAAATGATTTAATTATCTTCTTCTGTTGAAAAAAAAAGACAGAATGAGAGATTTAGGCCATCAGCCTTGTGAAATTGGGAGGGGATTATGTAATTATTTCCAGAGTCCATTTTGGAGAGCACATCTATCCTGGTGACTCACAAGTTATTAAGATGCTGGAGGGAGATTTTCCAATTACAGCCATAGGCTACTCTATCCTGATGTTTGAAGGAGCTTGTCAATAAATTTAACCCAGCAGCCTACTTACTTGGCTCTGTGATATTCCTGGTGACTTGAAATAAACAAAGGTTCAACAAGCTTGTTAAAAGTGTAGTAAAAATAACTTATAAATTTTGCTTCCACCCTAACAAACTAAATATATCAGGCATAGCTAAAAAATAGGGTTAAATGTCAGCAACATCATGCAAATTAAAAAGTTATGCATCATTTTTTCCCTAATTTCACAGCATAGAATATATTGGGCTAAATTCTCACCATGCATCTAAAAATGGAAATATTTAGGTTTGTTTTGACTCTTGAAGTAGGTACAGAGTTTGGAATTAAATTTGTATCAGAACATGATAATTATACAGATTTCTCTAGTTCACTATTATATTATTCTCAGTGGCTGTTGTGGATTTGGGCTCATTCTGGATATAAAGCAATATGATTATAACTGTATGAGATCTGAATCAGTTATAGCCAGGGCTTTTTTTCTCATAAAATGCCCAGAATGGAGTTCCGGCACCTTTTTTGGATGGAACCTTGTAGAGTAGGCAAGGCGGGTTGTGTGACGTGTGAGAGTTCTGGCACCTTTTTTTTTTAGAAAAAAAAAGCACTGGTTATAGCTATGAGAATTCTGTACAAAAGGTTTACCTTTAGGAGTTGTCCTGTTTTAATTCCATATAAGTATATTCATAGTCCACGGTTTTAAAGCAGCTTCAACTTTTGGTTGAAAGAGAAAGATTTGTTACTGGCTGTAACAAATAATTTCAAAACACAGTCTGTGTCTTTTCCAATCTGAATAGAAAACAGTGACAATATCAGTGGAATGGAATCATGGACAACCAGATCCAGGGTCTCTCAATCATATACTAGAGCAGGGCTTTTCAACCTTTTCACCGATTGTACCACTTTTAGAATATGGCAACATTCGAGTACCACCAGTCACCTAGCAAGGTGTCAAAAACTTGACCCCCCCCCCAAATGGAAAAAGTGATAAAGTACAGGTAGTCCTCGACTTACAACAGTTCGCTTAGTGACTGTTTGAAGTTACAATGGCACTGAAAAAAGTGACTTATGACCATTTTTCACACTTATGACCGTTGCAGCATCCCCAGGGTCATGTGATTTATATTCGGATGCTTGGCAACCGATTCATATTTATGATGGTCACATTGTTACAGGGTCATGTGATCACCTTTTGCAACCTTCTGACAAGCAAAGTTAGTGGGGAAACCAGATTCACTTAACAACCATGTTACTAATTTAACAACTGCAGTGATTCACTTAACAACTGTGGCAAGAAAAGTCATAAAATGGGGCAAAGCGCACTTAACAAATGTCTCTCCCCCCTTTTATCTCCAAGTTCCCTCCCTCCTTCCCTGACTCTTTCTTTCCTTCTTTCCTTCTTTCCTCCCTCCCTCCCTCCCCTGCTTTTTTTAAAAACTGCCAGACGCTCTGGGAAGAGATGACAACTGGCAGCCAGTGGTGGGCAAAAGCTTTCCCTTCCCCCTGCCATTGCCTCTGCGTGGCTTGGCTCAGCTCACCTCTCCCAGACCTGCACATGTGTTTGTGTGTGTGAGAGCACGTGCGCCAGAATCAGTGCTGCTTTCCAGGTGATCGGCACTTCTTCTGGGCTCAGCAGGTGTGCTGGAATCAGTGCCACTTTCCAGGTGATCGGCGGTTCTTCTGGGTTCAGCAGACGTGCCGGGATAAATGCCATTTTCCAGCTGATCGGTGGTTCTTCTGGGCTCAGCAGATGCGCTGGGATCAGTGCCGCTTTCCAGCTGATTGGCGCTTCTTCTGGGCTCAGCAGATGAGCTGGGATCAGCGCCGAGCTCCAGCTGGAGCCTGGTGCTGATCCTGGCGCTTCCACTGAGCCCTAATAGCCCCAAAGAAGTGCTGATCAGTTGGAAACCATGCTGATCCTGGCAATTCTGCTGAGCCCTGACAGTCCCGAAGAAGCGCCGATCAGCTGGAAAGTGGTGCTGATCCTGGCACTTCTGCTGAGCCCTGACAGCCCTGCAGCTCCAGCTATCTCTTGCTCAGGCTTGTGCGGTGCTCATTCCCCTCCCTGGTACCACTTTTCTAGGATGGTCACACCACCTGCCAGGTGCCAATGTACCACAGGTGGTACATGTACCCTGGTTGAAAAGCCCTGTTCTAGAGGATACAGTGTATCCAGGGTTGGCCCATCCATCCATCCAGGCTATAGAGACAATAAGCTATGGTGCGAACTAAAGTACAGAGTCCATTCAACAGGGGGGCTCAAAATCTACCCTTAGGGTTTGAGAGTGGGGAACCAGCTGCATGGTTTGTCTAGGGCACCAGTTGCTAGCAACTGGACTAGAGCAGTGGTTCTCAACCTTTCTAATGCCGTGACCCCATAATACAGTTCCCCATGTTGTGGTGACCCCCAAGTGGGTGTGGCCACCAATAAGAGGGAGTAGGACAGCTAGGGAAAAGGGAAAAAAATGGCAGACAGCGTGGTTTGGCGACCCCGTGAAATGGTCATTCGACCCCAAATGGGGTCCCGACCCACAGGTTGAGAACCACTGGACTAGAGACATCACTGAGGGTGGCTGGACAGAAGCACATAAACTAGTGTTCCTCAAGGTAAATGAATATAGTATAGAATTTAGGTTCAGATGGTCCAATATACTTTTCTCCTGTTCACCCTGCCTCTTCTTTAAGCCCTGGGTGCATGGTATGTATGTGGTTTTCATATTTTAATCCCATGCCAACAAAGCCATGAGATAGATCAGGCTGAGCAAAAGGAAACTGTTGAAAGCTGTCCAATAAATTCCCTAACTGACTTTCAACATTCAAAGCACAATACCCTAGGGCAGTGTTTCCCAAACTTGACAATTTTAAGGCATGAGGACTTCAACTCCCAGAATTCCACAGCCAGCGTTGAAGTCCTCATGCCTTAAAATTGTCAAGTTTGGGAAACACTGCCCTAGGAGACACTCTGCTCCTCACTTCAAAGCTGCTATAACAAATAACAACTGAGCAGCACTTAATAAAACTAATGAAATGCTCTCAAACATTCTTCATATTTGGAATTGCTATCCAAGACTGAAAGAGGTTAAATACTAAGAAAGATACTAGTTTCAAAGAAATTTAGGGTGCTCTACAACAATAGATTCTCAGTGATCTCCAAAATGCCATTAATCATCAGTTCTCTTGATATTCCTGGATTTTCTTTAATTGAGGCTAATTTCCGAATAGGAAAAAAAATCTGCCCCATTTCCTTTTCCAATTTTTTTTTAATAGACTGCTTATCATGTTAGCAGACATCCATTATTTTGATTTGGTCTGTCAGATAGGCATATCCATAGCAATGATCACTGGCTTCAGGTTGACAGGTGCAACTGGGCAAGTGAAGCCCCATGCCTTTTTACATGCATGCAACGTGGGCAACACTAAACCGTGGCAGGGTTTAGGTCACCTAGTGATGCCCACTATTTGGGAGGCAGTGAAAGAAAAAACTTCATCAGATGGCATAAGAACTTTATTGTGAACAGGGAAAAATCAAGTAAGTCAGAATTACAACTTTGACACATTGCACGTTATTCTTGCAAGGACTTAATTCCATTGAAAATTGTGTCATTCTTTGGTTTGCTACAAATGTGAAATGTTTCCCGATCTTTGAGACATATTTTAACAATATCAGTAGATCCAAACTACTATTTGCTTTTTGATCACAGAGAGGTCCTGCCAGACAGAAGCTTCCAATCTTTCCCGTAAAAGTGGAGATGTAAAACATGTTTGTATTCTATTTAATTTTGAAGGGCCTGCATGTCAGATTGTGTGTGGGGGGGATGGGAGATGGGGGAAGAAAAGAGCATGGCAGATTTTTATTATGATTATTTTACAGCCTGATAGTGAGATAGTGGACTTGTCATAGCTGATATTAGTTATCCTATTTTTATTATTAAATAACACACATTGGTTATATATCTATATTCATCTTACTTCTTTATTAATACTCGTAGACTCATATATAATAAATATTGGCAAAGACCTCTAAATTCTTCTCCTGCGCAAAATGCATGAATGAATAGAATGAATGCAAATTGTATGCTTCTGACACTTCTATTCATTGCATTTGGACTAAGCAGAAAACTTTTCCAGTAGATTTAATTATGTAGTAGCTTTTTTTCTAAATTTGTATGGTAACTTTTGCTAGAGTGCAGTAATTTGTGATTTGAAAAGTGCAAGTCACAGATGGATGTCAGATTAAAAATATTTAACCAGCTTTTCATCCAGTCTTAAATAAAGCATGCTTTCTCATTTCATCAGGTGTTTGTTGTTTTGTGCGATACTGTTAGGCAACTGACTTTAGGAACCATAACAAAGGCATACAAATACAGAAACAAGCTTCTGTTCTGTACATCAGTGCTCCCTCCCTCCACTCCCCTCCCTCCTCCTTCAACAGCAGCCTACAATTCATCCTCTGTCAGCCTCTGGCTGGTTGCTCTGTATATACATATTTTATGTAGATCAGGGCAAAGAAGCTGTAGAAGTAAGAGGTAAGGCCAGATAGTTTGGAAAGAGGAAATAGATTGAAAACAAGACTTGGAGGAAAGCAAGTGCAGGGCCATTAATGCTGCCTTGGCAAATCCACCATCTCCCTAATTTCTCACATATCAAGACTAATTGATATAGAGCCGAGGTCCCAAATCTTTTGGGCACCAGGGACCGGTTCTGTGGAGAGAGGTTTTTTCCATGGACTGGAGGGAGTGTGGTTTTGTGTGCTGCCTGCATCCCACAGATGAGGCTTTGCTTGTTTGTGTGGCACAGTTGCTGGCATGCCATGGCCAGGTACTGGTCTACGGACTGGGGCTTGGGACCCCTGATTTAGAGAATTAAAATTAGTTCATGCAAAATGTTGAAAGCACTATGAAAGAAGTGTCTCTTCTATTATGAAACACCCATGTGTCTCTAAGCTGCTAATGATAATGACACATATTTAAGTTTTTGAAACTTGACAAATAAAGCTACTGCAATACCAACTGGAGCAGTGATGGCGAAGTTATAACACAGATAGGTAACATGCCATGTTTTCCAGCACCCAACAACTATTCTTGAAAGCGTGTTCTTAATGTAGTTTTTGGAAGCAGCAGAGGCTGCATGAGAAACCCTCAGGAGGTCACACAAGAGGTCTGTGGTTTTGTGTGGCCTGTGAAGCCTCTGAAAATCACACAAGAAATAGGCTGTGCTTTTGGGCGGTTTTCTGAGGCTGAAAAGAGGATTCCCCCAAACTGTTAAAAAATGAAGGCTTCGTGCAACGTGGAGTAGCATCAGGTAGGCCGTAGAGGCCTGTCAACAGAAAGGGAACACCACCTAAAGGTAAGTGTTGCCCAGCAAATCCTGGGCTGCATGAGCCTTGGAGAATGGTACCAGGGCAGCCTTTTCAAATGGCAGTGATGGTGTTAGGGGGTGAAGAAGAGGCCCGGGCTATTTCTGGCTCAGCCTTGTGAGGGCCATGCAAGATGGCCTTTGTAATGCTTGTAATATAGACTTTGTAGTACTGTTGCCCTGGCTAAATAACATGGTTTTTCTTGTTTTTTTAATTTGCCTTATTTATATATTGTTAATAATTGGCCATTGCAGGAAGAATGTAAAAAGCTTCTGTTATAGATACAGGGATCTTGCTGAAATGCTTGATACATTGTAGATAAAGCACTTTCATTTTCAGCCATTCCCAAGCAAGGAGGAACAAACGAAACATTAAACCCAGCGCTAAGAAGCGACTGTGACTTTTACCAATACACATTCTAATGGTTTTTCCCTTGAATTTTTTTTACTTTTATTCATAACATAATGTCTTTTCAATCTTTATGCTTACATATTATTGGATACTTTATTCTTATGATGTAACTGGACAGATGATTTTTTCCCCTAATCTAATCAACATGTTCTTTTATAAATAAAAAATAAACTTTTTATTATGCCAAATTTAAAGGAGAAGATATGTTTTCTTTTTCTTG